AAGCGAATACAAGTGTGTGGGTGATACGCAATGCGTTCGTTATTACATAAAAGTGGAGGCTGCGGGGTGGAAACCAATTTCGAAAGTTGATGAAAAGGATGGGCTCGTTATCGAGCAAATTGGAAACTGCGGTCATTATATTAATATAGAACTTTTTCAACCTCTGCTTTTTATAAAAATTGCACAAGTCAAAAAACATTTTAGTAACGATTGCAAATTTAATTACGCGAATTTTTTTAATTACAACAGCCTGAACGTTGCGTCCAAAACTTCTTCTATGTTTTTGTAAAATATCACACACACGCGTGCGCGCGCGCGCGCACGCGAATATCTCTGAAATTAATTACAGGAAAAATATAAGAAAAATATACTCTTCTTCGCGAACGACAGAAAATATATCGCTATCTCGCGTTGCGTGATCCATATCTTCTTGACAACAAAAAAGTCATTAAGAGTTTATCAAACTAAAGACGCGGACCCTCTCATTTTTCTACTTACAATGTGCCCGGCATTCTCGCCAAACTTCGGCGCAATTTCGGAGTTTCGAGGACTCTCCCTTTTCGAACTTAATTAAGAAAATAATCTTCGACGGAGAAGGCTCGCCGGCCAAGGACAGCGCTCGGTGCTCTCTGACCAACGAACTATATGCGCAGGACGAAAAACGAGGCGTTGCGTCCGGCGTTCCTGCGGGAACCGACGGAATCGATAGGCGCGCAGGCGCACGTCGCTCCGTCAGGAATCGGGAGAAACGGGAGGGAAAGAGAATAAGAGAGAGAGAGAGAGAGAGAGGCGGAGAGGTCCTCGGCCGAGAGAATCGAGGGAGCGAGTGGGACCGACCGGCCTCCGCGGCGAATCCCTCGCGGATCAGCATCCAGTGCTCGCATCACGACGACAGCCGCAATATCGCGTCCGTCCGCGTGTTCCCAGCCGTCCATTTCTCGTAAACTCGTGCGTTGCGATATATAGTTGAGTTAATACAGTAGTAGTGTCCGCGCGCGCGCGCACACACACACACACACACACTAACGATCGCAGGGTTACGATCGTCGCTATCGATGTTTCAAGACCGACAGTCATCGATCTTTTGTCCGCGAAAAAGAATCTTCGACAGCTTTGAGAAAAAATTTAGAAACAATTGCACCGAAGCCTTTAGCAAAGAAAAAAATGTATTACGAAAGGACCGTGAGAGAGTGACACTGTCGATTATGTCACATCGAGAAATCGTGTCGCCCCGTTGCAGGGGCGAAGAGAGATCGCGCGCTCGAATTCATTGATCTGACGGATGAATCAGTTTTCTGTTTGCGCGCGCTGATTTTACACGGTGCGATGTAAAATTGTTTTGATAATTTATCAACACAACGTTCGCAACGTTCTTGTTAATCTCGAGCTCCTCGATCCGTCCACGAGAATAAAATGTAAAGATGAAAGCGGCAAATGTCAAACGAGCGTCAATGAATCGCCCCCGTCCACGTGCAAATGTTCGCGGTTTCGTCTCGGCGTCGATAAAACTACGCGAGCTGGAAACCATCGACGAGTGATCCTTCGTGACGTTCGAAGGATCAGCGAGTACTTTCGCCACCTGCCAAATGGACAGGCTATTCCGATGGAAGAGCCACAAGGTGCAGGAAGATGTGAGTACATGCAATGCGCGTTCCGCGAAATTTACATTTGATTATGCAAATCGCGCGCATGTGGTAAGATAAAAGTCTAAAAAAAAAACAAAAAAAAATATCGACGACGGATCAGAAACGCCTCTCGATCTTATATTCCTCGCGTACATATGAAATCTATGTGCGGAAAATAACAACGACGCTTGAAAGACATTTCGAAGAAACAACTTAATCTTTCAAGAGAGCGGGTTGTTTTTATTAAATTTAATTTATTCTTGTTTTTTCAAATAAAATTTATATATTATAAAAAATTCTTTATATTATAATATATAAAAAAAAATAAATTTAT